GGTGTGTAGTAACGGCTGGTACCGGTCTGTAGTAACGGCTGGTACCGGTCTGTAGTAACGGCTGGTACCGGTCTGTAGTAACGGCTGGTACCGGTCTGTAGTAACAGACTGATACTGGTCTGTAGTAACAGACTGATACATGTTTCTACAGTTGATTATTATTTGATTGATTATCAAAAACTTTTTAATTTCTTAAATTTCTTATTTCATGTCTAAACACTTTTTAAGTTCCCACGGGCCACACTAAACAGCTTGGCGGGCCACATTTGGCCCCCGGGCCCTGAGTGGTGCTGTGGATGTTACTGTAGTGTCTCCACAGAGATAATGAAGGACACGTCCTGATTCCAGCGGGTGTCGTTTCCATCCCAGTAAAAGTCTAGGATTGTGAGGATCTGGTTTGAATTTTCTCTCTACGTCTCTGGGCTCCATGTGTGAAATGAATAGGTTCACCTCACACCGGGGTCTGGCACCGGGGTCTGGCACCGGGGTCTGGCACCGGGGTCTGGCAGCGCGGCCGCCTCGGAGCACGCCTGGAATCAGGACTGAATATATTTACCTCAGGTTTGATCTGTGCACATTCACAAAGATCAAATATGAACCGGAGCCTCATTTTTTCTGATTATATCTGGAGACTTCTTCAAATGTGGGAAAAAATCCCACCGAAAACATTTGACGCCGTCAGACGTCGTTCCCTCGTTAGGTTCACGGATCTGCATTCTTTCTGGATGAGAGACGGTGTTTTTGGTGGACGGTGGTCGACTCTTCTGACTGGAAACTAAACATTCACTCCGTCACCGTGGAAACTTCACACCACACACACACACGTGTCTCATGGTTGTTGTACAACATGGAACCAGCCGGGGTAATGTGGACGGACGTCTCTGTGATGGGGGGTCCAGCACCAGGGGCTCCAACAAACCAGTGTCTAGAACCCAGTCCCGCTGCAGGAACGGTCCAAAAAGAAGTGCAAACATATATAAGAGTTGACAGTGGGGTCAGAAATGTTGACCAAAGGTGTGGATGGAAGCAGCTGTAGCGGAGCAGAGCGGATCTTGATCTCTCTGCCAGATGTGAACCACCAGGTCCACAACGGCAGCATCTGGTCTCTGCTCTGGGACCAGTGTGATCGACCCGTCCTGCTGAGTTGACCAGAAGACTCTGGAGTTTGAAAGATAAGAATTTTCAGTTTGTCTTTTTGGTGATATTCTCTCGTGGATTTAACAGGACTTTTCTTTTTGATTCAACATTTTTTTAGTGTCCACAAAGATCTGACAGAGCGTTCCTTCCCACAGATACTTCCACTGAGGTCCACCAAGATACTCCGAGATACTCCGAGATACTCTGAGATACTCAGAGATACTCAGAGATACTCAGAGATACTCAGAGATACTCAGAGTAGCGTGTACTGCACCATGCCTGGATCCTACTGTGGTATTTCCACGCCGTATCACGTTCAACCTCCGAGCCACAAAAATGACCAAATATTTATGGAGGTCTGCAGCATGAAACTGGTTCCTGAAGACGACCGTGGTCTCCTGACGATCTGGGGGGAAACGTGGCCCGCTTTGGATGAGGTTGTGGTGTTCAGCCCACAGTGGCGTCCGGGCCGCCGATGTGTAATGAAGTATCGCAGAACGCTCGCCACAGGCTGTCGTTTCTTGACACGTACGCAAATTTATCTTGATGGAATTTTTCTTGAGTTGAAGGGAACGACGTGTCGTTGATGTGCTGCGGTCGTCGGCGCGTTCACGACAGAAGAACCGGGCTCAGGTCGCGGCACGCAGGACAAAACAGAAGAGCATGAACGTCCTTCTGCCAGGACAACACAGACGGTGGTACCGATGTGGAACATCAGGACATTAGTACCGGTTCCTCGACTAGGCACCAGTTGCGCGGTGCGGCGTCAGTGGACTGCGGTTTGCCTACGGGCCGTAGTGTCGTGCGTTCTCCAGGAGTAGGTTCTGTGAAAAGTGTTGGGAAACAGTTCTAGTTCCACTGGATCTCCTGGACCTCTGGCCCCCCCTGGTTCTGGACATGTTCTGACCCACTCCTCTACATTGGACCTTTGTTCAAACTCCTGATGTCTTCCATCCAGAGTGTCCTTCAGCGTCAGGGGTCAGTAGGTCACTGCTCATCAGAGAGGGTTGAGGTGTTTGGTTTGGGACCACAGACAGTGAGGTCTCAGTTCATTTGTTGTTTCAGCTTCACTCAGCTCTGAGGGACTTGAACCCAGGACAGTGACACTAACATTCACTCCACTGTGTTTTTGAATGAACATTTTTTTTCTTTTTTCCTCTCGTCTTCAGGACAGATACTGGTCAGGAGTTCGTCTGGTCTCACAGTAGAATAAATATCCAACCTAAGGTTCAATGACGATGAACAGAGTTTGAGACTAGAATCACACTCTGACTACAGCTACACTGGGGGGGGGGCACCTCAGTATATCGTACTGTCTTATCAAGTCAAAACAAGTCCGGTGTATTTCGTTTACAGTTGACCTGTGAACCTGTGACATCATCACCCTGAGGTGTTGACTCTTGTTTCTCTGTCAGATGAACTGAAGAAGCAGCTGGAAACCAGGAGGAGACAGAGAGCGGCTCAAGGTAGAGACAACTCACATCCCATAATGTCTCCACACGCACGCCGTCCTCAGAGCCCTGTCCTCATGTCTGTTCTACTGCAGGTGTGACGGGGAGCCCCCCAGAGGCTGAGGAGGGGGAGGACGCCCTGGAGGAAACCCTGTGCAGACAGATCACACAGGAGAAACAATCGTGAGTCAACGTGGCCACGTTACCACGGTTTGACCCTCACCCCGCTCAGACTGATGACACAGCAGATGTGGGGGGGGGTCGGGGGGGGTCATGTGGACAAAGAGCTGAATGTTCTGGTGCTGCTCTCTCCCATCAGATACAAGAG